GTGGCACTGCTGAGAGCCCCTGTACAGCCATTTGTGATGCTGTAGTTTATTGCAATGATTATTGTCTGTGCTGTTCAGGAAAGAATTGCACTTTGCCCTTGCTCTGGATGTGCACAGCTCCATCTTCCTGCTGTGCTGGGAGGTGTCCCACTGCTGCTCTGAGGGACCTGCTCAGCTTCTCCTGCCCTCTCTGGGGCAGCCAGGTCCTCCTCAGCAGTTACCACTCCCTGTTCCCTGTTTTGTGCTGTACCTGAGCCTTGAGCCCCTCAGTTACCCCTGGAGTGCCCTCCAGGCCTTGGTGATAGTTGGGGGAGGCTCCATGGAGAGCAGAGCACAGAGGCTGGGCCATCCCTTCTCCTCCTGGAGACCCCAAATTCATCCAGTGGACATATCCCTGCATGCCTGGGGAACCTACTGCACCATGCAGGGGCCTGGGCTCGTGCCCCTGCCTTTGAGGTGAGTGGCTTTTAAGCAATTTAGTTTTTTGGGAGGTATCTTAACATCTCTGTCACCAACTGTGCTGGTTGCTCCTCTCTGTTCTGTGTCACCATGCTGTTCTCTGGATTTAGCACTTTGCTGGTCTCAGTGTCTCACAGAGCTCTGGTTTTCCTGTTTGCTTCCCAATTACTGCCAGAATCATTGCATGGCATAGGGTGGCAGTGTAGTGACCTGCAGCTCTCTTTGGGATGTGCCAGTAAAGGGTTATCAGTGCTGTCATCCACTCCTGTGCACTTTAATGAGGTGTTTTATACCAGTGCTCCCTTTCACCTGCACAAAGGCTCCAGGTGAGGGGAGAGCTCTCTGCTTGGTGCTGTAATTGTGATTCCTGACTCCCTGACCTTGCCCTGAAACCAGAGCCTTGCTGTGCCTGAGGTCTCACCCACCATTTACCAGGCTGCTGGTGCTGTGCTCAGGGACCATCCCTGCTGATGGCTCAGAGGGCTTTTTGGCATCATCTTTCAAAGCTGAAGGTGTAAATTTATTTGGAGCTGTTGTTTAAGGAGGATCTATATTTAGTGCCTGCTGTTTAATATCATCCCAGGTTACTCCTGACAAATGTAACTGTGTTGTTTTCCTTTCTGCTCAGGACAGTAATGTTTATATTGTCTATTTCTTCCTTTAATGATTCCACCATTCTTTCTGTTTTTGTCAGCGAGACTTCTTATTGTCCTTAACATCTATAAAATCCCCTGTATCTTGTTTTCTAACACAACCTGCTGTTTAACTAGCAGTCTCATTCATTTAAGGAGCTGGCCTTATTTTAGGCACTTCATAATGATTTACAAATTCCAGGATTCATTAATCCCTTCGCTCATTAGGGTTGCAAGTTGATACATGTTTTTCCCATGTGATGAAGGTGGACATTTTTGCTGCCCTATTTGTCCTGGGCAATCATTCATGTTTGTGCACTGACAGAATACCTGGCTTGGTTCCCTTGCTGGCAGCTTTGGAGCAGGGGTGGGATGCAGCATTTAGGTCAGTTCTCCTCGGGATGCTGTTTCAGGAGGGGCCTTTGTGCTTCACACCATGCTGGGGCTGGGGCCAACCCATCTGTCCTTTGGGCTTCCCCTTCCTGTGGCACAAGGGAATCTGTTTCTCTCCTGATTTTCCCCCGTGGTGTGAGAGAAAGAGGATGCTTGGAGACTATCCAGAGATAGGGTGGAAAATGCAGATTTTAAATATATTTTCCCCCTTTATTGCTGCCTATTCACTCCGACATAACTGAGCTCGAGGAGTGAAGGACAGAACTGTGTTCCTGCCAGCCCAAATAAAACCAGGGGCTGTTTGCATTTCCATTACTTTTAAAAAATTTTCCTCACCTCCAAAATGGGCTGCAGAATCTGGGCTTTTATGGCTGCTAAGCTGCAGTGCAGCTCATCCTGCCCTGCTCTATGGGAATCCTCTGTGGGCATTACTTCTCTGGCTGGGCAGTCCCCTGGTGGGCGCCTTGTGTGCCAAAGCTGAAGAGCCATTATAAAGATACAGAAAGCATTAGAAATATCCATTTTTGGGTTTGTAGACTCTCTGTTAACTCAGAAAAACATTAAAGCCCAGAGAAGCTGTGGCTGCCCCTGGATCCCTGGAAGTGCCCAAGGCCAGCTTGGACAGGGCTTGGAGCTGCCAAGTTGGTACCTCAGGCTTGCTGGAGCTGTTCCCCATGGGAAGCATCTCACTGCTGGCTCTCAGGGACCTCTGATGGAGCCAAACCTGCAGAAGGTTTGGGCTCTACGTGCTGCTGACACCTCTCAGGAGCCCTGAGCGTGTTACAGCAACAGATTCCGTATTATCCCAGCCTCGCGAGCGTCTCCCTGGATATTAAAAACACCAGCTAAAAGCCAAGTCCAAGCTCTCCATGAATGACTCTGTGGAAATGCTGTTGGGCACGTTTCAGAGCCGCTTTGGCTTTGATTTAGGCAGGTAAACACCGTGAGTGGGTGTTTGCTTTGACTTCTCCCTCGTAGCCAAAGACTTCCTTTGAGGGCAGGCAGAGCCTCCAGTGCTGCTCCCCAGCACAGCAGCAGCCCAGTCTGCCTGTGCCTGGTGTTGGCAGAGCCTTCCCTGCCTACCTGGGCCCAGCAGCAGTGGGAACCCCCAGTTTCCTCAGGATCAGGGGTGCCCCCGGCCCAGGGCTCCGCTCAGCCTGGCAAAGCCTGGTTCCTCCATCTGGATGCCTCCCAGTTGGGATGATGCTGCAGGATGACATCCCTGGCTGCCATCTCCTGCTTGTCCCACACTCTTTCTGCTCTGTCCCCCTTGAATTTACCCAAAATCAGCTGCAGGATGGCTCTGACACCAGAGATCACCTTTGCCATGTGGAGGGTGGTCGCTGGGGGAGGCAGGGTGGGTTCAGCCCATCCTCTCCTTGCCCTGCTGCACCAAGAACTGTGCTCATCACACATTCCCCATCTCCACCAGAGCCACAAACCCAGCTCCTTGGCAGATCCTGCACGTAGGAAGCATCTTCTGGTACCAGATTGTTGGGTATTTAATGAACCCAAGGAAAACAAGGCTGCGAAGGCTGCGGGGCGAGGCGAGTTTGTTCCTCAGTCTGCCAAATTCCCCCTCGTTCAGACAGCCCACAGATGTTTGGCTGCTCCTGCCTTAAAGAGATTTATGGAAGGTGCAGGGCTTGGAAATTTATGGGGACATGGAAGTGACAGTGTGGGCAAAGGTTTCCTGGCCCCGTAGGGCTCCTTCCCTCGGTGTTGGTGGCAACGGGTGGACAAACAGCAGGGAAAGTGCCTTTGGGTCGCTAGGAGGATTAATAAAGGCTCCAGGTTTGCCTTTCAGGAGCTCTTTGAAAGCCATTTCTCAGCTGAGGAATGAAACCCCAGAGCCTGCCCAAGAGCCAAAGTACTTTGGCCTAATGCAAACAGTGTGGGGTGTGCAGGTGACAGCAGGCACGTGTGTCACCCTGTGTGGCCACAGACACCATCCACTGAAATTCTTGTAATACTGCCTGCTGAGTTCAGGGAGAAAATTTCAATTTTTGGACGGTTCTAAGTGATCATTTTGCTTCACATGAGGGTTCTGCAGTGTTAAAGGATTTGTCCATGAAGGGGAGGTGGTAGAAGACAATGTGGAGTCTGGCAGGTGATCCATACATCCAGGATTATTTAGACCCAGGCATGTCCATCAGGGCTGTCAGCCTCTCCCTGTTTGCCATCTCAGCCTTGCAGAAGGGAGAAATCTGACTTACATGCAGCATCCAAATTGGCTCTGACAGCGATGGTGGTGTTGTGGGTCTTGGCAAGTGTTCCCCAATTACTCAGTGAGATGTCCCAGATCCTGCTCCTGCCTCAGCTGGGTGGGTTTTCAGTGGTCACTGATGAGCAGCAGCATTACAGTCGGTGTAACTCGCTTTGCATCTCCAGGATTTGCTTCTCACAGGGACCTTGAGAGCTCTGGAGCCAGCAAGTCTGAAAATCCCCATACCTGAGGGTGGGCAGGCCCTGGCACAGGGTGCCCAGAGCAGCTGTGGCTGCCCCTGGATCCCTGGCAGTTCCTAAGGCCAGGCTGCACACTGGGGCTTGGAGCACCCTGGACACATGGAAAGTGTCCCTGTCCATGGCTGGGGTTTGGAATGAGATTTAAGGTCCCTTCCAAGCCAAACCATTCAGTGGTTCTAGCCCTGAGAGCATTATTATGTGTCTGTAAGCAGGTGGAGGTAGTTTGATACTGACAGGTACTCTGAGGGGTTCATGAGCTGTTTGAAGTTGTTTGTGCTTGAGAAGTGAGTCAGTAACAGCAGTGTGGGCGGGCTGGCTTCAGCTCTGACATCTCAGGCTGTATATTGGAAAAGAATATAAGGAAGGAACAAGAATTGGGTTTTTGTGCCTGTTTACTAGAGCAGCATGCTCTGAGCAGTAATTAAAAGTAAACCCAGACCGTGCTGCCTTGTTCAGCATCCCTACTTGTTGAGATTAAGCAGCCAAAGCAATTCTCAATTCAGCAATTCCTCAGCTTTTGGGAGCGTGGCCAACACTCACAGTGTCTCACAGACCACTGCAAATTCTTGTAATAAATCTCACAACTGGGGCGGCGGGGGAAACCCACAGAAAGGTGAGATGGACCAGCAGGCTGGACTGCTGCTGCTGCTGCTTCAGCTGCTCTTCTCCAGGGACAGCCCTCCCAGGGACAATTCTTCCATGGAAATACTACTCAAAGGTAGCAGTGGAATACTGAGTGGAATAGGCAACAATTGCTCAAAGAAAATGTGTAATTTCTGTGGTCATTTGGTCTGGAATCAGCTGTAGGCTCTGTCTGCATGGCCCACACTTCCAGGGATGGAGCAGCCACCACTTCTCTGAGCACCCTGTGCCAGAGCCTCACCACCCTCACAGGGAGGAATTTTTTCCTAAAATCTAATCCAAGCCTACTCTCTTTCAGTTTGAAGCCATTCCCTGTCCTGATGCTTCCCAGGGCTCCTGGCTTGCACCCCTCTCTTGCTGCTGGCTGTTTTGCAATGACTAATTTTGCTTTCTTCTTTTCCTTTTCAGTTGCCAGGGAGGAAAAGGCAAAGTCACTGCCAGCACCATTTCCTTCGAGCTAAAGATGTTGAGAAAAAGCACCTCTGCCCCTGCCCTGTCCTTTCAGCCCTTCTGCTGCTGCTGTGCCCAGGACTCCCTCCCCTGCCACTCCTGTTCCCTAAGAGCACGGGGGCAATAAACCTTTTACCCAGGTAGTTGCTGTGGAATTTTCCTTAATTCCTTATTCCTTTTCTTGTGAGTGCTTGCCTGCAGTTGAGGCTCAACCCAAGCACGTAGATCTGGGCGTGAGCTTGGATTTGAGGCTCTCCCTGGAGATTTGGGGGTGTTTGGATGAGTGGTTTGGGGCTTGGAGTGCAGGGGACCCTCTGCCTTGTGTGACTTTGGTGTCGGGCTGAGGCAGTGCCATTCACATGGAGCAGGGGATGGGGTGAAATAACAGAGTTTTGTTTGCTTGTTCATTCCTTTATGGCTGTGGGCAGGACCCTGGTGTGGCTGTGGTTCCTGGTTGTGAGGGTTATCTCAGGCTCCATCTGTGGTGGCTGCACGTGGCAGTTTTGGTTGCTAATGTGTCCCCATGGGATGGGTGCTGTCCTGGGAGGCCTTGAGCTCCTTCTGGCTATGGATTTCCTAGCGTGGCTGTAGTTCAGGGAGAAAATTTCTATTTTTGGAAGGTTCTAAGTGATCATTTTGTTTGGCTTCACATGAGGGTTCTGCAGTCTTAAAGGTTTTATCCATCCAGGCTCCATCCAGGATGCCCTGGCAGGGCAGGTGAGCTCTGGGCTGTGCAGGTGAGAGCCTGTGTGCCTGTGCAGGTGAGCTCTGGGCTGTGCAGGTGACAGCCTGTGTTCCTGTGCAGGTGGGAGCCTGTGTCCCTGTGCAGGTGAGCTCTCGGCTGTGCAGGTGACAGCCTGTGTGCCTGTGCAGGTGAGCTCTGGGCTGTGCAGGTGACAGCCTGTGTTCCTGTGCAGGTGAGAGCCTGTGTCCCTGTGCAGGTGACAGCCTGTGTCCCTGTGCAGGTGAGCTCTGGGCTGTGCAGGTGAGAGCCTGTGTCCCTGTGCAGGTGACAGCCCGTGTGCCTGTGCAGGTGAGCTCTGGGCTGTGCAGGTGACAGTCTGTGTGCCTGTGCAGGTGACAGTCTGTGTTCCTGTGTGAAGCTGTTCCTCACAGGTACTGAGGTGATGGTGGTTCCTGAGGCTGTGCAGACCCTTGGAGGACCTCACCTCACACACTGCTCCCCCTTTGCTGTTACATGCAGGCAAGTCCTTTACTTGCTAATTAAAGCGTGTCCTTGCCTTGATAGCCCTGGAGAAGCCTAGTCTGGGTGCGAGCAGGAGGCAGGGGAAGGCATTTCCTTGCTCCTTTGTCTCTGAGTGCCTGGAGCATGGGGCAGCAGGAGGTTTTGCCAGGCAGGAGTGGAGCACTGTGAGAGAGCTGTGATGTCCTGGATGGTGTTTGTCCTTCCAGCACCCTGTGGAGCAGGAGGGACAGACTGCAGGCTCTGGGCAGGGCTGCAGCCTTTCTCCTCCCTCCCTGGGGCAGTCTCTGCTCCTGACAGGGTCCCAGGGGACCATCCTGAAGATGGATTTCCATCTCTGGAAATTCCATTCTTTGAAAGCCACGTGTGCTGGCTCGTGATCCTGTTTGCTCAGGACTAGTCCATGGGGCATTTCCAGAGTGTAAAGATTTCTTCTCGGGCCCTGAATGGCATCTTTCACATTTATTGGAGGTTTTCACCCCATAAATAAACTCAATAATTATCTCTAATGGCATAGGCTCAAGCGAGGGGAACAAACTGCCCAGAGCTGAGCCCGCTCAGCCCTGTTGCAGAAGACAAATTATTGCCTGAGTGAGGAAATAAACCCAGACTGAGCGACATGCAAATGATAGACTTCATGGATTTTTTCCAAATTCATAAGACAATAAATCAAGAAATTAAAGATGTACTCCTTGGCATTGTCCAAAGCCCTGAGGGTGAGACAGGCTGTGCCATGAGGAGATTCAGTGTTGCCCAAATCACTTCTAAGAAATGGAAGGATGGGGAGAGAGACATGATTTTTATTTTGGGTGACTATTGCCACGTTAGGCTTGCAGAAAGCCTTAAACCCCACAATTTTCAATTCCAGTCACCAGTTTTGGCTCTTTGCCCCAAATTCTTTGTAGCCTCCTGTAGGGTTTGGGAGGGGATGACCAGTCTGGTCTGACTGCACAGAGAAATCAAGGTGTGCACAGAGGAGGGAATTTCTGTGTCACTGGTGAGAGTGGGATGGTGCTGGAGCCCTGGAATCGTGCTCAGAGTTTGGCCCAGAGGGATTATGTAGAAATAGATTTGTAGAAAATTTTAAAAATTCAACACATATTTTATGTAGTGTATATTTGTGTGTAAATTTTGAGATAAGAAATGTTGACTTAGAGATACTGTAGAACAGGACAGACATTAAGAGAAAAATTGAACTAAAAACAAGTTTCAAAGGATGGCTTTGTGGGTAATATTATATACTTTAGAGAAATAGAACTATAAAAGATGTATTGTAGTAGGATTTAGATACTTTAGAGAAATAGAATTATAAAAATTGTATTGTAGTAGGATTTACACTTAGTTGTAGTAGGAATACATTTATAGCGTACTGTAATTAGAAAACAGCTTCTGATTGTGATGGCATGAATTATAACATCTGTATTGTCTCACTCTTCTCATGAGACTGAAATAGGAATAAAATTTTTTAAAACACCTCTCAGTTGCCCATCTCTGGGTCAGAAAAGAGCAGAAAATCCAACAGTATTAGCTTTGGTTCTTCAGACATGTGGGTCTAACCTGCATTGAATAAACTCCAGAAATCCCAGAGGTTCCTTGCTCAGCCCTTTTCTTCCAGCACAGCACAGGGAATGGTGCTGGGGCAGGGCTGGGGAGTGGGGTCCTGCTTGGGTCATGGCTTCCTCACTTTGATCAGCATTAAAAATTCAGCAGGGGCAGGTGATTTATATTCTGAGAGAATTCTCACCGTTCTGCTTGTGAGGTATATCAGTATGCAAACCACAGCTCCAGCTCCTTGTTCCCTGTGCCCTTTCCACTGTAAATAGGTTTTATGTCAGTGTGTGTGGCTGGAGATGGATTATTGAGCTGGACAGGGGTTGGATGTGTTCTGTGCAGAGGGGTGGTGATCCCACAGCAAGTGGAAATCTGTGTGGTGCTGGTCCTCAGTCTCTACAAGGAGCATTC